CTCCACCACAAGAATAATTCCTTTTGTATGTTCTCTTCTTGTAAATCAGTATTAAATGATTACCTTCTAGTTTTCTTTCGTTTTTTTACTGTATTGTACATCTAGTATGCAACATATATTTTACAATCATATACATATATTGCAATCTATAATCGCTAAACTACCAAAAAAGGGGACTTCCTTAGAGAGAAAAATAGGAATAGTTGATATGGTTTGGTATTTGCTGTCATCCACTTACAAAGTGTTGTTTCTTTACTATGACGTTTATACAATATATGTTGACCCAATTTGGATGTCATTTCAAGGTATTCACAATAAGCTTAGTACTCAGTTCAACCATCTGAGCCTTAGTCGAAAACTGATATTGAGTTTGTCAGACTCGGCATTTCAGCCAATTGAATTCCATCGCGAGTTTCATCAGTATTGCATCCTATATTTTTTCTTTTCTCAGTTCTATAAAGAAACACTAATTTAAGAATAAACTACTAAATTGCCAAATAGACTTGGACTTTTTTTGTAGAATCCCATTTTCTTTCGGGTTGCTTCATTATTTTACGTATATAGTTGAAGAAACTTCAAAAACCATCCAGTTTTAAAAAATGACAAATCTGTAAGCTGCAGTATACATGTATCAGTATCACTAAAATAATGTACACTCCGAACTTGAATGGACGTTGTTGAATCCTGTGTTAGGGCATAGTATAGGGTAATTCTTTAATTGGATGGAAAGAATTAATCGAGTGACATGTTGAACAAACAATAGTAGCTACGCATTATTACCATAAATAAGGTAAGACTTTACATAAAAAAAGTATGACTACATACATAGCAGTCATTTTGAGCACTACTCTTTCTATAGTTTGCTGTTTTGTATATTTGTTAGTCAGTGAACTTGAATTCATAATCTCAGAGTCTGAGACTCAGAAGCAGTGCAATAATACAGCATTTATGAACTAGTGGAATGGGAGGTTTTTGCGTTTTATAGTTTAAGGCCACTAGCCTATAGTTTAGTGACAGGATTATATAATTGAATGAAGGGTGTGGTCGCTCTTTTTCTTCGTTCGAATATGACATCATTATTTAAACGAAATGACACCTTGATATTTGTATGATCACTTTTTTCTCAAAAAATCAAACCAATCGTTCAAAGTACAAATAAGGAAGAAGCCTTAAAACTTTACTGGTGAAATTTGTAAATGGCTGTTTGTGATAGTTAATTAAGTAGAGTTTTGGCCATTGCAATTGTGAGGTAAAGGCTCAAGTCATATTAATGACTCAGGCAAAACTTGAAAAAGTTATGTTTCTCACTACAAGCCCATTGATTCTGGACAGTAATAATAATATTCACGGCATTAATTAATGTGGTGAACAACATGGACAATTATAATTCAGTATTTTATATATATGTAAATGTTAACGCACTGTCAAAGTATAAGTATACAGTGCGTTAACATTATACAACAGCCACTTAGCTGTGCAACTGGCTGTTGTATATTTGATTAGTTTACTGGCTGCCGTTTGCCATATTGTCAATCCTATTGGTAACCAAATGCAATTTAGTGGCTGCCAATAATGTAATTACATGCGTAATAAAATTATAAAAAACGCTTACTATTCAGAGGGGATGAAAGGTGTTAAGTTGCCTAAAAAAATTTCAGCTCAGCAAGCGTCGAAAAACTTACATGTGATGAAAAAGTTTAATTGCTATAGAAAAAAATATACCTGTGACTAAAAACTATTATGTATAAAGTAAAAATTTTCCAACAATATTGACTTGTGCAATTATTGTTTATTCGACTATATATATATATATATATCTAGCTATGTATTTCTTTCTAATTTTTTGAAGATTTAAATTGGTTTTCAAGCAAATATTTTATTATTTAGTCAAATAATTGTGACGTCATTTGACTCTGACTGTCATAAAGAGCCAACCAAAATGAGGCTAGCATTCTTTTCAACGCAAAGAAATCGTTCTGCAGAAAAAATTATATATTGTAACTATTACAAAAATACTTTGGAAATAGTGAGATATGTTGATGATGTTGCATAATGCTCAATTTTGTACCAATAAAAGATCTCAGTGCTGTTATTAACGATTCATTTCTGACGACTTTGTCAGTTCGATCTGTGTTGCAAGTCTTACTTAATTCTGGAATATCTAACAAAATTTTTGTTTTTAGAGAAAGGAAACGATTTTCGTTGACTTCTCTTAATGAGAAATTGTAAAGATGGGGGGATCAAGTTAATACCGTCGTTTGGAAAGGAAATGTTAAACAAACCTCGTATTTGTACACATGGAAAGAACGGAAATAAAATATTTCAAATACAATTTGAAAGGGTGAAGACTCCGAATTATTTTCTGTTTAAGCTTGCCTCGGTTTGCAGTTTAAAATTGTGTTTTGTTCCATGATGTTAAAAAAAGTTTTTTAAAAACATTTTTTTATAATCCAACGTAAAACAGGAAGCAAAAAATACCATACTTATCAAATTAAATTTGCATTGATAGGAACATCAGTTGCTCAAAAGAGACAATAAAACTGAGAGAATTTCTTGTCATTAACTTGTGCACACATTCAAGCATTATTGCTTAACTAAATTTCGTTTGAAAAACAACATCAATTGCACACTTACATTTTTTAATGCAAGTAAATGAGCAATAAAAGATAATGCAGGTGTGATAAGGGTAAAACTAATATTGCTAATGTTATGAACATGTTCTACTCGTAATTCTCCACAAACCTGCCGCTAGGAGCTTGCTAGAACTCTTGCATGGCAACATATAAATCCGTAAGGTAAAAATATTGTAATAATCGATGTATGTGAGATAAAAACATCCCAAACCTCAAGAAAAGATTAATTTGAGGCGATCACGTGATCAGACCAAAGTTTGCAAGCTGACATCAAGAAAATAATTCAAGAACACAAGATAATAAATGAAGCATAGAAAGAAGGAAGCAAAGAAAGAGAGTGTTTTAAGATTTGGTGTGCCTGAATGCTTTCAACAATTTTATTTTCTATAGTGACTTAGAGTTGCTTAATAACTTTTCTACACAACGTAACGTCTTTTGTGGTTTGATCTATGTCAAAACAAATCCATTTGATGGTCTTGATTCTACATCGTTTGCTGGATGTTTCTAGGTACGCAACATATTTTCTTGTTTAGGTGATTCGTTGATTCTGCATAGCTTCCTTTTTACTTCTTTGTGTGCATCATCCATGTATGCCATCGCATTTTCGTCTGTTGTTTAGCGTCTTTATTAATTCTTGCAAGCGCAGCGTCCTTGATGTTTGGGGGCTTCATCGACTCGTGGACTTAAGCTAACTCGAAACTATATAGGTAACATTCATCACATTCAGTTAACTACGTATTACTTAAAAAATCAAAAAAAATAAAAAACAATTTATTTCCTTTATCAACCCTTTAAATCCTTCACAATAGGCAAAGACTTCCAAATTCAGTTCGTTTTAACTAGACAAACTTGTAATGCAATGTTACAGGCTTAACTAACAACCACTGATTCATTACATTTTATCGTGAGCTAAGAATGCTAGAACTCAGGCTTTTTTTGATGCCACATGGAGATGACGTAATCTTTAGTAACACGGCCTAAGAGAGTCAGAACCAAAGCACTGTGTACTTTTTGCTCAAACGTAACGTACTGAGGGATTCAATTTACCACGGGCGGAGAGGGAGGCTGAGCCTGCAGACATTCACCAGTTAGAATAGTAGATTTAAAACACATACAGCAAAAGAACAATAATTAAATATTAATGCTCTCTTTGATAATGCGGCATGCGACACGTGACGCAGGTTCAACCAACTCATGAAATATTTTAAAGAAGCTTTGCAGAAATTACACTGGCGCAGCAAAATATTTAGTTATTAATTTTACTGTTTTTACATCTCGTATTAAGACATCATTCAAAATTTGTAAAACGTTCATAATCCATAATCTTAACATGTATTTGTGTAAATCGTTTTATGAATGAAAACCTTTATAGGTATGTCATTTAGACTTAAGCGCGAGCCACACTATCGTCGAAATGCAACGAATTTCGTGACGAGTCGCTCGTCAACGAGCCGTCGTGACGAGTACATGTGCCACATTGTAACGATTTTCCGTACAAGCATGGACGATTATCAGCGCAAAAAGAAACTTCTATTATTGAAGAGAAAAATTCTACTGCTTCTAATTTCTGCAAAACGACGTACATACAAAAGAAGGTTCTGGGTACATCCCATAAATAAAAGGCGAGAAGAGAAGGGCTTGTATGACACGTTGTTGCAAGAGCTTCGTCAAACTCTATTGGTCGCAACTTTCAGTTCCCGAGCAACATCCTTCCAATTATTTTTCTTTATATTGCGTGTATCTTTATAGTCAGGATGAAATTTGTCCCACAAACATCTCTCTCTCACTAGCTCAATTAATATTTCTTGCAACCGCCATTTTGCCACAGCACAGTGAAAGTAAACATTAGTCATGTGATTTTTCTTGTCCAATCAGAGTAGATATGCAACAATTACTCGTCACTCGTTGACGATTTCGGTGTGCATGCTCAACGGCGACGAATTCGTCCATATCGTCATATTTTCTCGTTGACGAGCGACTCGTCACGAAATTCGTTGCATTTCGACGATAGTGTGGCCCGCGCTTTAGTCGGGTTATACACGTACATACTATTGTATACTGACGTACATAAAGAGTGCACAATACTTTGTCTAGAATTATCCACAAAAATCAGAGGAAATAGCCAATCTTAGTTTTAAACATACGCGTAATTAAAACCACGCACTTGACATTACTAGTTACGCAAATGCACTTAAGTTTAAGTACAGTTTTATGTACGTTATCCGTGTGGCATAACTGCACCTAGTTAACTAGAACATAAATGCCTCGAATCATAAGTGTAAAAATATAAATCACAAAAAAACATCGTGGTTGCAATATTCACTCTCACTTGGCAGCAACATTGAAAAAGTATTTAACGGAATCAACGCTAAACTACACAATACCTACTGTACAACAGGTATCTCGAATTTCGAAATCCAAATCGAGGAAAAAGGTTTGTCTCTCTTTTTAAATGTGTAAATATATGTGTGTATGTGTGCATGTATGTATGTATGTATGTATGTCATTCCAGGCATGAAAATTAAACTACCAATGAAACTGCATGCTTTTAGTTATATTTTTAAACCGGGTTTTCTTTTGACTGCATCGTGTCAAACTAAAGAGCCTGTTCATTTATTTAAAAATGTGGCTCGTGAACGCTCAAGAAGGAAGCTAAACTTGTAGGTTTTCTTCAAGAGACAACTACAGTTTGAAAATTATGGGTGTTAGTGTAATGACGACAACTTAAAAATAGCAAATTGGCAGATTTTACATTTGATGTCAAGTAAGGTTTGAAAACCAGGCCGAAAATTGAAGAGGGATTGTTATGTACATAGTATACGTATGTCAGAGCCCTGGACTTCCAATTTATTCGATCATTAAGGGTCCTCGATCGCCTGTTTAACTTACAATAAAAAGCGGAATAATGGCGAGTGATACGAACTCAACACTTGACATAACTGCGACAGATATGCGAAACAAGGAAATTGAATTCATCAGGACATATTTCAATAGTGTTTGACAACAAGAGCATTATTTGCTGGGAGAATATGAAGGAGATGCTGAAAGTTTGGAGAGGATCTTGGATTCTTACGCTTTGTTATCGTCGATGTCATTTGTTTGTTCACAAACGCACAACAAACGCAAAGACCACAAACGCTTTTCAATAAATAGTAAGGAAACAGTGCATAGCATCAAAAAGTACGGCACTGCAAAAATACAATATGTAACGGAAAAAAGTGTTCATTGGAGTTTACAAACTTTAATTTATGCTAATTATTACAAAAGTTCTTACGGACCGAAGCATCATCTCTACGTGTTTTTATAGCTCCACCTGTATTCCAAGATAATAAAGGCAATGTACCAATTGCGATTTCCATTTACAATAGAAAGCACATAAACTAGGCAATGCATACATGGATCAGAAAAGGTCAGATTTTAAACGCTGTATTACAACGAGATAGATTAAACAGTTATCACATTTTTAATCAACAGGCTAAGCAAAATGACCATTTTTAGGACTCGCGAGGAGGAGCAAATAAACAAAAAAATCTGCTGAGCACAATTACGCCACCAAAACATATCAAAAATTGCAGAACAGTCAAAAACTTGGCTGCCCAGCAACAATCCAGATTCGTGAAATAAAAGTTTTTAAGGACTACTATCTTGACAAGACTCTTTATCCAACAGCGAACAGCTTGAAAAAAGCAGAAAAAAACGTTTTAGATAAACTATGAGCAGACATTTCTAAGACTCCAAACAATATGAACACCTCATGAAAGTGCTACGTGAAACTACCTTTATCATCACAACACCAGAATCATGTAGTTGGAAGTTCTGTCAAAATCAGCTACAACGTTGACAAACGAGTAATAAGTAAAATTCACGAGCTTGTCAGTAAGAACGTTACTCAACCCTTTGTTTCCAAGTTGAGCCTTGTTCGAAATCAGGCATTCACCGTCAACGAACTAAAATCTTTGAAAGAAGCGCTTGACTACGCAAATAAACTGCACGAAATCTTAAATCGAAATTGCCCAGTCAGCGAAGGTTTTCCAATTGGAAATAGTCCAACAAAAAAGCGTTTGAAAGTAACAAGTGCGGAGTATCATGAAGTATTTCATAAAAAATTGCCTCTTCGTTGCAAAAAAGAAGCATGCTAATAACTATATCACAACAATGATCCCAGACATAAGTCAAAAGAGCGCTGTATCATCAAACAAGGTGAGATAATTTTCATTTTGGCAACCTCGACTGACGAGCTCTTTTTTACAAATTATAATTTTCACTCACAATTTACGTTCCAGAATGCACTTGAAGAGCCAGTTGAGCAAGAATTGTTGTATGACAGTTAAACAGAGGAAATCCAGGCATCACAAGAAAGCACTTAAGTACCGCCATTAACAACTTGGAACAACAAGAAAGGTCAGTGATTCTTTGCAAAACGAGCTGAAATTGTGAATGTATCTTGATGCACTATGTTTTTAAATAATATAGCACCTACACTGATACTTGCAAACAGTTGACATACAATTCATTGTTTCTGACTCCAAGGCCACAAATAAATGCATTTACAGAAAGACAGTGTCTTGGGGATACTGTGCTGGAATTTGGTCCTGTGAATGTATTAACAGTAGATCTTTGGTCACTTGTCAGTCCAAAAGATATAACTGAAAAAGAATTGAAAATTATTGAAAAAGAAGTTACCACATTCAAACCTGGTTGGCTGACTGACTCTGTAAGAGAAAAAAGCGTCTAATATAGTCTTCTTATTTATCATTATAAGTCATTGTTTATAACCATGAGTGCTATGTACAAGTAAAACTGGACAGGAAATCTCTTCAAACTATGCTTTCTTTTGATTTTAGGTAATTGACGCTTTTTTGTGGAGTTTGACTGAAAACTACACTACTGTTCTTGCAGCAGAATCATTTATTTCGGACTTTGTTAAAAACAACTCAAGCACAAGATGCACATGGGCTTATAGATCTTATCACCAAACCAAAATTATCCTTTTTCCAATCAACATCCATGACATTCACTGGACACTACTGGTAATTATTTGAGCTAATCAATGAAGGCAATAATAAAATATAGACATGCATTATATACATACTTAGCCCACATGAGTCCACATATTTACATGCAAAAATTAGTATCTATAGAAACATTAACTAATTTAATTCCTTAATTAACAAAGAGAAAATTTTTAACCAAATGCAACAGTAATTTTGTGTAATATAGGCTATAGATAAGTTCTCAAAAACAGACTCTACTTGACCACTTGGAGGAAGTGCAGACAAAAAGAGACCTGATAAACAGATGATGTATCATATAAACAAACAAAGTGGTCACGTTTGTCACTGTTTTAGTGCTTTGGTAGATGTAAAAACAGGTTGGAACTCAAGCTCATGGCAATGTTTTGAACCACTCCATTGTAAACAGGAAGACATGTATAACTGTGGAGTGTACATATGCTTGGTAAGCTTGAAATAGCCTAACTTTACTTGAATAGCTATATTACAAACATGATTATTCAGTAACGGCTCATTTCGCATCAGTTTGCTTGATTTCTAGCCCTTGGCTTGGACTATCAAAACCCAGCAAACATAGAGACTGAGAGAAAACAAATCCTGTCAACATTACTTGGGTCTTGCTATGATGATATTACACAATAAGGCATAAATAACATTTAGTTGAATATTTTTATATGGAATTCATTATGAATATCTTTAGGGAGCAAATTGTGGCTGTTTGCAAAATATGCAGAGAGGATGACAATGAAGACTGGCTGGGTTGTGATCAATGTGGTCAATTTTTTCATGCAAGTTGCCTTAATGTTGACTTTGCCATAACCTTGTCAACACATTTTAGATGCAGATAAAATTATTATCAATATTATTTGACATGCAACAAAATCATTATTATGGTATCAGTGCGAATTGTGCAATTAAAATGAGTGCTTCAAAATATAGTAATGTGTGAATGATAAATACTTTAATTTAAGGTAAAATGAACTGGAAGATTTAATTGATTCGGTACAATTGTGCTTGCCACTAATTGAATCTCACACATGCAATGAATAGTTTGAAACTGTTGATGAAATGTTATAATAAACAACAAGTTTTACAAATATATCTGAAATAAAATGGCTTATTCCTATTTCTTACCTTTGTGAGGATTCTTCTGGCCAAAAATTTTCAAAAATTTATGAAAATCCGTCTACATGATTACTCTGATGCGAAATTTAAACGCAAAATCAAAGTTGAATGAACTTTTGAGAGATAGTCCCACTTGTCCCACATCTCGTATGTAATCCCTATGTAATCAATTATTCATTGTTTGTAAAACTGCCTGCAGGCTCAGCCTCCCTCTCCGCCCGTGGTAAATTCGATCCCACGTACTGACCTCTTGCTCACAAACGTAAAATAGCAACACGAAAAAATGCGAATTTCATTTCAATCATAGAGAGCAGGGGCGGATCTAGGATTTTTCAAACATCAGTCATAAAACGTCGAAGGCGCTCCGCACCTGGGGGGGTCTGAGGCATTCTCCCCTGAGAAATTTTGAATTTCAGAGCCTTGAAAATGCCATTTTCAGCGTTTTAGACCAATGCAAAATGTATTTGTGGGCATCGTTTTTGCGCAAAAACAACACATTTTGCTTACGTTTTTTCAAAAAAAAAAATGAAGTGAACAATACTTGAATGTTTTGCCAAATATTTAGGCTCATTATCATGCCAAATATATGGCTCATTAGCATGTCTAGGAACGTAAAATTTATTTTACAATAATGCTATTCAAAAACAGATATAGTCTTTAAAAATTTCTACCAAGTTGTCAGGCATAGACCCCCCTAGAGACCCCCATTCAAACCTCTATGTAATGAGTTTAGCTAAGTTAGAAATTTGGTACTACAAGTGACAGTTCATAGATATAGAAAAGCTCAAACTTAAAACCATGCAAGTTTATTATAACCCTTTACCCATCTCCACATCAGTGCCAGCAAATTCACTTTTGAGAAAAACTCAAAATTTTTTCTGCCAAAGATTAAGCAAAATTATCAGAGTGAAAATTTGCAGTTAAGGACAGCTTAATGCCATAAATGTTTATTAGGCATTTCACTAGACTATTATCTCCTGTAAGTATATGCAAGGTGTGCTATATAGCAATCACTAGTAGCATTGTATTTGCAAATACAAACAGAATGTAACCAACATGTCTTTAATTATATAATTACATGAATGTTAAAATTGGTTCATGTGTCATGCTTACTGGTTATGATAAATATCTTTTCATATGATCAAAGCTCGTTTAAATGTAAATCTGAAATAATTTAGTTTAGAAATTATAATGATCATCAGAAAAATTACCTAGTGATCATGAAAATACTTTGCTGTTTAGCCAAATTTCAAGGTTTATCTGCATACATAGAAAGACATTTTACTTTATAGAAAATGCTTTTCATACATCAATAGCCCTTTGGAATTTATGGCAAACAATCTGGTATGAGCCGTAGATTAACACACCTTTACATCTCTACATGAGGTGTTCAGTTAGAAAAGGGGACAATATGTGACATGGGACAACATTTCATGTATGTGAAATACTCAGGTTTAATACCATTTCAGTCAAATTGTCAAAATAAAAAGCTTCATGGATCAGAAGACTCAAAATCACAGGTTATAGTAAACAGCTTCTCATGTAATCAATGTTAGTTTTCTCAAATCTTAAACAATATGTAGTATAACTGTCCAATGATTGAATGATCAATGATCATAAACTGAAAAGCCCCAAACATTTGTTTATGATAAAGTAAATAATAGTATGGCGCCTTATGGCTACAGATTTTTGTCCATTGAAATATATTTGCAGGAATGTAGGATTTCGCTGCCATATAACGGCCACGATTCCCAAGCACTAAAGAAATCATAGCTAAAAGTCCTTCGGCAACAACAATTTTAGAAGCATCAATCTGCTTACCATACGCCATATTGACATAAATCGCATCACACACTCGCATAATTGACTTTGATATATTACATTCATGCATACACTTAACTTGTCCTTTACTTACGATTTTGGATGTAAATTTCTGCTGATAAAACTCAAAACAATGTTGGCTTTCTTTTGAACATCAATGACTGAAATGTCGCTCGCGAGATCGTCTTTGCCAAGCTTTTAAAATTTATCCATAAATTTTTCACCCTCTGGAAAAAATTCACAGTTTGGACAGCAGCATTCATGTCAATATATGAATTTGTAAAAGATTTCCATAAATTCCATCTGATTGTAGTTTAGTTTCTATCATGCTTATAAAAATTACTATGAAACGATCAAACATTCAATTCAGATAGTGAGCTTGACTATGTTAGTTCAGTTGGCTATCAGTCGAAATCCGTCAAACCAATCACAATAAAGCAAAAATTCAAATGAACCAATTGTAAGATAGCAATTGGACCCCTTATACGTCCGGCCACCCTTATTATCAGTCGAGACCATTCCAGACTGTCCACTGATCTGGCTATTGACCAATAAAATAAGCGTTTTTGACGCTCATAGACTCCTTTATCCGTCGAACCAGTCAAGTCACCCCGCTTATCAGTCGGTTATTCCAGGACAATTAAAATTCAACTGATCTGGTTACCAACGAGATATTCATTGGATTAGTCATTAGTTTTCAATAATAAATAATGCGGGATTTTATCACGAAGTAAATGCGATAAGAAAGTAAGAATAATTAATGAATTTTTAATTAATATGAATAGGTAATTTTTGAATTTCAAACTTCAGTCGCGCGACGGATTTGACATACTCTAGATCCGCCCCTGATAGAGAGTTTATGTTCCGTATTCATATATGTAGCGAAATCATCCTTACCACGCTCAGTATCGGTATTTTTTCCTAGTTTGATATTTTCTGTTTGAATATATTTATATTTATATCTATATTTCTTTTGCACACAAACTTTATTCAAATTTTAGTAATTGATATTAATTTGTTGTTGGAAAATTTGATCAATTTCTTGACATTTGTGGCATCAGTCTTGATGCTCGTCTTCCAAACCTGTATCAGTGTACTACAGGTATTCTTGGTAGTAGCTTTAAAAGAAAATTATAGCCATTAAAGTTTAATAATATTGTATTACGGAAATGGTGTTGTTGTGTTGGTTAAAATAGCAGAATTAGCAAAAATCACAGCAGTCGTTTAACTTACAAATAAGTAAGTCTTAAAATCTTAACTTGTGACTTCCATAATTAACTGGCTATTTGTGATAAATTTTTGAAATTTTTGTGACGCTGTAATTGTGAGGTAGAGATACAAGTCATACAGTGACTCAAGTACAACTAAAAAAAATCATGTTTCTTACTGCAAACATTTTCTACTTTTAAGGAGTCATATTAATGTTGACGCCGTCATTGCAGTGGTAGACAACAAGGAAAATCAATTTAGCAATTTTTCGACTTAGCATAACAATAAATAGAATCTTCTAAAGAAAGATTTGACAGTGCGATAATATTCTCTCCTGTTATGCAAAGTAGACACTTATTTATTTTGACTATTTATATCAGAAGACACGTTATTAGATGTAAGAACAAAGATTTATTATTACGTGGCATAACTTTACTTCAATTTGAAGTATACCTGCGATTAATATATTTTTGCTGAAGGGGAAGTGAAGTTTGTTTTATTGTATGAAGCTAAGTAAAACCTATACTTTCTATATTGAATGACGCAAAACTTAGCTAAATAAGGAAAATATTTCTGCCTAATAGAAATAATTCAAAATCTTATCATTGCACTATTGTTACAGTTTTAATCATATCATTTAAACTATAAAGAAATTTTGTCTCATAGTACGTGCATGATTATAAGGACAAAGTGTTCTTGATAGCACAAGACAAAAACCCAAAAGATAACACTGTGAGGTTTGTATATCAGATCATGGCTCTTTTACAGCAATGCAAACGAAGTCGTGTCTGTGATGTGTACATAATGCGCATAAGAATGTCAACTAACTTTATATATAGATGTTTATGCTTAAATACTTATAAAGAATCCACGCTGTTTACCATCAATCACGAATCAATGCCATACAAAACATGTTTTATCAAATTTTTATGATGCATGTTTTTACTGTTTTGGCAGTTGTCAACTTGGCATCATAGATATATCGATGGTTTTATAGACCATCAATAGAAGCAGTTACGCTTGCAGAATAGCTTATAAACAATGAAAAAAATTTGAGTTAATAAATAACAAAGAAATTAAGATATTTACAAAATAATCAATTACTTATAAGTCGAAGATGCAAAATTTTCACTTCATAGCAGTTGCTTTCAGCAGGATTTAAAATTCATCATTCCTACCTATTAAATGAACTTCTACAGTATACAGTTCAACTTCCTAAACAATTCCAAACCTGAAAGCTATATTGGCTTATAAATCAGTAGCATTACAAAAAATACAACTATCACGTCAGACCAAAATAAAGTGAAGAGACTGAAATATTATGCTGTGTACTTTCTCTTCTATACATTAATGAATGAACTCTATTAATGACAGTTCAACACATTATAGTTCCACCTAAACCTAAACCAATCATTTCGCGAATTAGCAAAAAACACACGTGATCTGCATGATGTTCTAAACCAATCACAATTGTCTTTTTTAAGTGTCAAGCGTGATGTAACTCACACGGACTGCAAAGTAAAAATAAACTTACTGTCAATAGATTAACAACGTGCAGTAGCAATGATTAAAATTCACTGTGGTGTTGTTCTATTAATTCTGTGTTAGAAGAACTGGATTATATGTGGTTGAGTGGTGCTAATTATTATTCTGTAATGCATCTGATATTTAAACTGCATTATCTAGATCATATAAAGGAGAGTGTCATTTACATCAAAAATAAAGTCTTTGATTAAAGATCGTGCATTTAACAATTTTCATGGTCAAACATTTTTCTGTAGCTAAAATGCTTTATACTTCATGTTAAGAGCCAATACTCAGCAACCTGTTGGGGCTTTTGATTTGAGAATTGCTCGTGCTACAGAAAATTGAAAAATGCAAGATATTTATCCGAATCATAAAAATGACGCTATAACTTGCATGGAACTTCTTTTCAAAGTAATCACTGATGCAATTAAAGCAAAATAAATTAAAATAATTTTACAATTTCTATTTCTCTTCTTTTTATGCACTCGTTAACCGTTGTAGATATGAGTCAGTATGAGTCGAAGAAATTTTTGGTTTAATAAACATCCTAAAAAGAGGATTTTAAGCTCATTTTATGCTAATTATTCATAATCCATTCATATTCAACTCCAAATTTTAAGCAAACAATTTCACATTACCATTATAATCATGAATTTGCTTAGAGATTACATGGCTACTCTACTCATTTCTCCATTATCAAAAAACAATGTTTGCTGAAACGGAAATGAAGCCGTTTTATTGCAAATACTTAAAACAGAGGACTAAAGTTAGCTCTTCATTACAAGCAAAACAATTAATTGATGAGCACATAAAGAAGTAAACTGAGGTGGGAAAATGATAAAAGTGAAGTTGAATCTTTTAATGGTATCCATGTTGTTGCTAACAAATACAGTCAGTGCATCGTTTAAGAAAAAGAACTCAAAGGTTTGGAAGTATTAACTTTGTAAAGTGGTTTAAGTTAAAATTTCGGTTCGAGAATCAAACGCATATTTTAGCGCAATAGTCTTTTTTTAAGGTCGCGAGAAACTTTATTCGTGTAGTTTATTTATACCTCTTGAGTATTAAAATTATAATTTGCAAACTCTTTTCTATAAACACCCAGCAAATAGATTCCTGTGAACTAAGGTGGAAAAGGGCGTTGTTCAACTCGGAACATCACAAAGAAATTTACAAAAACAAGATCACATTATCCGTTGAGAAATACATAAGGACCGGAGAGACTTCAAAGCAATAGAATGAAGCTGTTATTATTCATTCAACAATATTGAATTTGAGCCAGAATTCAATATTTATAGAACCTTCACTGTTTAGGTAAAAACATTTTTCTCTACCGTTTTCAAGGCTCAATGTTCAGCAAGCTGTGGAATTCCCGGGGTTCCAGGAGTTCCTGGTGTACCTGGAGCAGCCGGACGAGACGGTTTAAAAGGAGACGTAGGATCTAAAGGAGAAAAAGGTGAACGAGGTAATCCTGCTCCTCCGTTGAAAAATGACATGAGCCATTCAAGCTGGAAACAATGTGCTTGGAAAAGAAACGATGGTAAAGATCATGGATTAATTCAGGTGCAATAAGTATATGAAATATTTCTTTTGTTATGAATGATTACATATTATTTTAGGAATGATTTAATTTAATTTTAGAATTGTGTATTCACAAAAAAGTTTGACAACACTTCCCTTCAAGTGTTTTATGGAGGAACCTTGCGAACTTATGGGTGCCATGCTTGTTGCAAACGTTGGTATTTTACTTTCAATGGAGTTGAATGTAAAAACCCTCTTCCTATTGATGGAGTTCTTTACATGGCGAATGTAAAGTCACAAGATATCCATCGACATCGTCACATTGAAGGATATTGTAACAAAATTCATAAAGGAAAAGTGCAAGTTGGATTCTGGGTCGGCAATTGTCCTGGTTATGCTAACGCAGATGCATTCAGTGGATGGAATTCAGTTTCTCGTATTGTTATCAAAGAGGTTCCTCCTCCACAAGAATAATTCCTTTTGCATGTTGTCTTCTTGTTAATCAGTATTAAATGATTACCTTCTAGTTTTCTTTCGTTTTTGACTATATTGTACATCTAGTATGGAACATACATTTTACAATCGTATACATATATTGCAATCTATAATCGCTAAACTACCAAAAATGGAGACTTCCTTAGAGAGAAAAATAGGAATAGTTCATATGGTTTGGTATTTGCTGTCATCCACTTACAAGGTCTTGTTTCTTTACTATCACTTTCATACAATATATGTTGACTCATTTGGAAGTCATTTCAAATTATTTACAAAAAGCTTAGTACTCAGGTCAACCATCTGAGCCTTAGTCAAAAACTGATATTGAGTTTGTCAGACTCTGCATTTCAGCCAATTTAATTTCATCGCGACTTTATTTCAGTATTGCATCCTATATTTTTTCTCAGTTCTCCAAAGAAACACTAATTTAAGGATGAACTACTAAATTGACAAATAGACTTGGAAGTTTTTTAGAAGAATCCCATTTTCTTTCGGGTTGTTCATTATTTTACGTATAAAGTTGAAGAAACTTCAAAAACCAACCAGTATTAAAAAATGACAAATCTGTAAGCTGCAGTATACACGTATCAGTATCACTAAAACAATGTACAATCTGAACTTGAGTGGACGTTGGTGAATCCTGTGTTAGGGGATAGTCTAGGGTAATTCTTTAATTGGATGAAAAGAATTGCTCGAGTGACATGTTGAACAAACAATAGTAGCTACGCATTATTACCATAAATAAGTTAAGACTTTTCATAAAAAAGCATGACAACATACATAAGCAGTCGTTATGAGCACTACACTTTCTATAGTTTGCTGTTTTGTATATTTGTTAGTCAGTGAACTTGAATTCATAATCTCAGAGTCTGAGACTCAGAAGCAGTGCACTAATACAGCATTTATGAACTAGTGGAGTGGGAGTTTTTGCGTTTTATAGTTAAATGCCACTAGCCTATAATTTAGTGAGAGGATTATATAATTGAATGAAGGGTGTGGTTGCTCTTTTTCTCCGTTCGAATATGGCATCATTATTTAAACGAAATGAAACCTAGATATTTGTATGATCAGTTTTTTCTAGAAAAAAATAACCAATGGTTCAAAGTACAAATAAGGAAGAAGCCTTAAAACTTTACTGGTGAAATTTGTAAATGGCTGTTTGTGATAGTTAATTAAGTAGAGTTTTGGACATTGCAATTGTGAGGTAAAGGCTCAAGTCATATAAATGACTCAGGCACAACTTCAAAAAGTTATGTTTCTTACTACAAGCCCATTGATTCTGGACAGTAATAATAATATTGACGGCATTAATTACTGTGGACACAACATGGACAATTATAATTCAGTATTTTAAATATATGTAAATATTAACGCACTGTCACAGTATAGGAATATACAGTAGGGCCACTTAGCAGTGCAACTGGCTGTTGTATATTTAATTACTTTACTGGCTGCCGTTTGCCATATCGTCAATCCTATTGGTCACCAAATGCAATTAAGTGGCTGCCAATAATTTAATTACATGCGTAATAAGATATGCGTGGCGCGAAAATATTCAATGGAGTGGCCCTACTGTATGTTCTTTTTACTGTGTCACTGAAATTAAAGAAGTTCGATACAGACTTTAATAGAATCTCTGCAGGTTTAGAAAGAAGGAAATGAATAATATTTTCTAAAACTTTTACATCAATCTACACAACACTCCGCTTATGGTGCTCATCTGAGTAGTCACTGCCAGGTTGTGGCAGCAATGGTTTCCAACTTTTCAGAACTTTGTGCATGGCTGCAATGCTTGACGAAGAAGTGAGCAAATTAAACGTTTTAATCAATTATGTTTCAGCAGACGTTTATATCAGCTCTTCTGTGAGACGATGACTTATGAAGAAGTTATCAAACTTTTGAAAAACAAACATATAACAATACTCCCGGGTTCAAACCATTTGCTTTGTTGAAAAATCGTTATATTAAAACTCCTATAGTGAAATATTATATATGGCTACATAAGTTGGCTACTCGAAAACAACAATCGGGCGAGAATTTAGACACGTTTTTGCAAAGATTATATTTTTTGTGATGGTGCATCAAATCAACATCGTTACGAAGATGTGCGAGATGCGATTTATAGCAGGGATATTTTCAACCAATATTCGCCAACGCCTTCTAGAGAATAGAACACAACATCTTCTGACAGCTTTTGATCAAGCCCGAGCTTTAGACACGGCTCAGAGAACCTCGGAAATGTACGCGGATAGAGCTCGCAATCTTGGATTGCAACCAACCTCCAGGGAATTATGAAACAATGTTGCTCACCCACAGCGGCTAGTGCCCACAATAGTATTAATAAAATATTCTTTTGTATTTGACCACCAACATGGCGGCCATGACGTAACATGCATCCACCTATATAGCGGTTATAGCTTTGTCAAACAAGGACGGTGAGAATTTTAATACAAACGAATTTTTCACATGAAAATCAAGATAAAGCCGATCGATCTAAGAAAAGAAAGAGTACGACAGCATGAAAAGGTACGTTGCTGTCTCTTTCAATAACAGGAAATGTTTCTGTTGTGGTAATAGGCCACATCACAGTTCTGCATGCACTGCTTGTCAGTTGTCATAAATATAAAAAGAAAGGACATTTTTTAGAGTATGTAAATCTGTTACTCGCAAGTCTGCGCATATAACATTATATCATCAACTAAACATGCAGTAGCAAACTCACTAAAGAAAGCCTGTATTGACGTCCCGGTTAATGGAAAATCTTGTGAAACGCTAGTAGATGCGGGTAGTACGCAAAACTTTATACATCCTAATGTTGCAAAAATTTTGCTGTTGATCTTTTATCCAACTGAAGAGGAAGTAACTATGGCTACGTCCCACTGATCTGATAATTAATACAGAGAGTATTCATTTTCACCATTATGAAACATCAACATATTATTTTGAAAAATATGGTGTTTTTAGCTGTTAGCTATTTTCAATTTTTTCATATAATGACGTTTCTTCGTTATAAGGCCATACTCAGCAGCCTGTTCAGGGACTTTTCTAATCTTTAGATTTCGGAAATACTTAGTGCACTTAATGCACGGAGAAGAATCAGATCGCACGATAAAATTATAAAAAACGCTTACTATTTAGTCTAATAGAGGGGATGCTTGTAAAAATTTTCTTTCAAAGTAATCACTGTAACAATTCAAATAAAACAGCGCAGTTCATTCTAATTTGTTTTTTTACGCATCAGTTGCAGATATGCGTTGTGAGCAAAAGCATCTTAAGATTAATCGACAACTAGAATAGGATTTGTGCTATAGGATTTGGATTTATTTTTGTTTACTTTTTTACATTTCTCTAAACTTTTCACATTATACTCACTCTTTAAACAGACAATTGTACATTATCATCAAAATTATGCGTTTGCTTAGAGCTTAATATATTATGGCTAGCAGAAGACTTTATCAGTTAAAAGATTCTACGTGGCCACTCATGTAAGATTCATGTAAGATTCTACGTGGCCACTCCCATTTCGAAAAAATTGATTGCTGAAACGGAAATGCAGCAGTTTTTAACGCAGATACTTATATCTAATGGACAACGTTGCTCTCATTATACAAGCAAATATCTAATTGATAAACATGAAGTAAAAGTTGGCAAAATGATAAAGGTGAAGATGTAGTTTTAATTGTATCCATGTTGTTGCTATCGATCACAATCAGTGCAACGTATAAGAAGAAAAACTCAAAGGTTTGGAAGAATCGATTGTGGAAGAATCGATTGTAAAATTGGATTTAAAACGAAAAAATTCTAGATCCGTCCCTTAATCACAACGACAAACGATGCTCTCAAGGACTTAAACTGTTTGATCAATGAAACAAATTGCTTCTAAACAATTATGCATTCATCTCCCTAGTTTGTTCCATGAATAGGGATTGTGGAAGATTGATAACTGGGGTTGGGGTCATGTTCATATATTCATGCTATAATCCGAAGTAAACAAGGGATTTCAAAGACCAACAAATTCACAAGCAATGATAAATAATCACAAATGATTACGTCTACTTTAATTTATATACATTTATGTACTTTATGTATATATATTTCATTTATATAAAGTTTTGTTTACTTGATTTTCCGTAATTACAGTGCTCGATGCGTTAGAGCAGAGCATAAATATTGATAATAAGAAGAAAATACACAAATTGTAGAATTTCATCCCGACATGCCGGTTCAACTGACTATTATGATCTGTCATCTACCAAGCAACTGCTAAACGTTAGGACACTAACACAACTGAGACCTACATCGGAATTACAAAAAGACTCGACACAGGAACCACACTGCCTCTACCGAACTCAGTAACACGTATGGACACTAAAAGACAACAACATCGCTCACGATATCTCTTGGAACATCATTACTCACAACAAATCGTACAACAGCGCCAACAAAAGATACAACCTATGCCTGAAAGAAAAATTCTTCATCACCTACAAACCACAACTATCATCACTCAACAAACGTAACAAACTTGTCTCCTCTTGTCGCCATAGACACAAGTCACTTTAATCCAATTTGTACTCGTACACCTAGCTTATTATGTAATTCTTCCTTAATTTTTACCCTAACTTCCTCTTGTATATATAGTTAAACACATGCTTTTGTATTCATTTATTATTATCCCCTGAAGATTGAAAAATCACGAAACAGGCTTGTCGGGATGAAATTGTAGTTTTTATTTATTTTCTTCTTCCTATCAATATTTCATTTATATGTACTTAAATGTTATACATATAATGAATAAAAAATTTGCTTGCTAACTGAAATCAGCGTATATAATTTCCTCCGTTATGTAGAGCAACAGGTATCCTCGGTGTCCCCGGTGTAAGTATTTTACTTTTATGATTTGGATAAAGTTTGAATAATGAATTGTACTTAAATAATTTGAAGAGTTTAGCAAAACTTAATAAGAAAGCTTCTTCGTATAATTTTCATGGATTAATACATTTTAGAGCAACTCTATCTTGAACGATTCCATTTGAAACAAAGACCAATCAAGCACCCAACCATTTTGACTGTTGTGTAATAGCATGATTACAGCATATCTAAAATATTTGACAACCAACTGTGTTCTCTGGTCTTGTTCAGGAACAAGCAGTTATCAAATTTAAGAAGCTTGTCATGTACATTACTAGAATTATACATTACAAATCATATACACATACATTTATAATCTTGAAAATTAATAATCCAGCATTAATGTTGTAAAATAAAAGTTTTGATTCTGAAGAAGACTCGAAGCACCAAGTCGAAAGCTCAATGAAAATTATTTTTTAAAATCCGAAGAAACTTTTATTTTACAACATACATCTATATACATTTATAAAATAAACACAATGAAACGCGTGTGCTGATTAGTCTAGAGCTATGTTTCCATTAGCCTGTACAAAGCACATCTGAGCTCAACCAATCAAATCAATCATGACAATCAGTTAGTGAATGAGAATTTGTAAATCGATCATGAATACATTTTTGGAGGAAAAATTAAAATATTTGTCTTTTTCGCATTATTGTTATTTTATAAAAGAAATAAAAGATGTTTCCAGGTGCAACCATCGACCTTCGGTGTCGAGCTTGCACTGATCTGCTCTCGAGTTCTCCCAAAGGTCTCCTCGGTTTCCATAAGCCTGTGCAAACACAGTAAACATCTTTTATTTCTTAAATAAACTATCAAATCATATACCTTACGAGAAGAAATATTGCATTTCATCATCAACTTAATATGATATTTCAGTCTTTTTGAAACGTTGCTAAAACTGAACTAAATTCTATGAGCGATAGACTTGAATGAAAAAATTAGTTCACTGTACAGCCATTATGAGATAAAAACACGAGAAATTAAAAACCAAATAAAAGCGAGAAAGCAAGACCTTTTATTATAAAACGGGTTTCATAATATTGTGCTGGCTTTTTGGAGTAATGTTGCATATCATATCATATGAATTTCAAAATCTTGAAAATTCCGCTAGAGTTTTGTTTCTAAAGAACTGTGTATTTACGAAAAAGTTTGACAACACATCTCTTCAAGTTTTTCATGGAGGAATCTTGCAAATCTCTGGATGCACAGGTTGTTGCAAACGTTGGTATTTTACTTTCAATGGAGTAGAATGCATAAATCCTCTTCCTGTTTATGGGATATTAGAAAGTACCCATCGACATCATCACATTGAAGGATATTGTATTATAATTGATAAAGGAAAAGTGCAAGTTGGTTTCTGGGTTGGAAATTGCCCATCTTTATGTTACGCAAATGCACACACTGGGTAGAATACAGTTTCTCGTATTGTTATTAAAGAGGTTCCTCCTCCACAAGATTAATTTCACCTTTGTCACGTTTTTATTCGACTCTTTTTCGTATCAAAGTTTCTGTTTGTATGTTTTATAAGACATGCGTATTGCAAGACATGAGGTAATTTAGTTACCTAACATTACCGAGCTGATTTAGTCTACTATTTACTAGTCTACTATTTAGTCTATTATTTACTAATTGCTACAGAAAAAAATATACTTTGTGACTAAAAACTCTTTCAAATACAATTGGAAAGGTAGGAGACTCCGAGTAATTTTCAGTTTAAGCTTGCCTCGGTTTGCAGTTTAAAATAGTGTTTTGTTCCATGTTGTTAAAAAAAGTAATTTTAAAAAATTTTTTATAATCCAACGTAAACAGGAAGCAAAAATACCATACCTATCACATTAAATTTGCATTGATAGGAACATCAGTTGCACGAAAGAGACAATAAAACTGAGAGAATTTCTTGTCATTAACTTGTGCACACATTCAAACATTATTGCTTAACTTAAACTCTTTTCAAAAGCAACATCAATTGCACACTTACATTTTTTACTGCAAGTAAATGAGCAATAAAACAGAATGCAGGTACGATCAGGGTAAAACTAATGTTACTAATGTTATGAACATGTTGTGCTTGTAATTCTCCACAAATCTGCAGCTAGGAGCTTGCTAGAACTATTGCATAGCAACATATAAATCCGTAAGGAAAAAATATTGTAATAATCCATATATGTGAGATAAAAACATCTCAAACCTCAAGAAAAAGTTTAATTTGAGGCGATCACGTGATCAGACCAATGTTTGCAAACTGACATCATGAAAATAATTCAAGAGCACAAGACAATAAATGAAGCATAGAAAGAAGGAGCAAAGAAAGAGAGTGTTTTAAGATTTGGTGTGTCTCAATGCTTTCAAAAATTTTATTTTCTATGGTGACTTAGAGTTGCTTAATAACTTTTCTACACAACGTAACGTCTTTTGTGGTTTGATCTATGTCAAAACAAATCCATTTGATGGTCTTGATTCTACATCGTTTGCTGGATGTTTCTAGGTACGCAACATGTTTTCTGGTTTAGGTGATTCGTTGATTCTGCATAGCTTCCTTTTTACTTCTTTGTGTGCATCATCCATGTATGCCATCGCAATTTCGTCTGTTGTTTAGCGTCTTCATTAATTCTTGCAAGCGCAGCGTCTTTGATGTTTGGGGGCTTCATCGACTCGTAGACTTAAGCTAACTCGAAACTATATAGGTAACATTCATCACATTCAGTTAACTACGTATTACTTAATTTTACTGTTTTTACATCTCGTATTAAGACATCATTCAAAATTTGTAAAACGTTCATAATTCATAATCTTAACATGTATTTGTGTAAATTGTTTTATGAAAACCTTTATAGGTATGTCATTTACAATTAGTCGGGTTATACACGTACATACTATTGTATACTGACGTACATAAAGAGTGCACAATACTTTGTCTAGAATTATCCACAAAAATCAGAGGAAATAGCCAATCTTAGTTTTAAACATACGCGTAATTAAAACCACGCACTTGACATTACTAGTTACGCAAATGCACTTAAGTTTAAGTACAGTTTTATGTACGTTATCCGTGTGGCATAACTGCACCTAGTTAACTAGAACATAAATGCCTCGAATCATAAGTGTAAAAATATAAATCACAAAAAAACATCGTGGTTGCAATATTCACTCTCACTTGGCAGTAACATTGAAAAGTATTTAACGGAATAAACGCTAAACTACACAATACCTACTGTACAACAGGTATCTCGAATTTCGACATCCAAATCGAGGAAAAGGTTTGTCTCACTTTTTAAATGTGTAAATATATGTGTGTATGTGTGCATGTATGTATGTATGTATGTATGTCATTCCAGGCATGAAAATTAAACTACCAATGAAACTGCATGCTTTTAGTTATATTTTTAAACCGGGTTTTCTTTTGACTACATCGTGTCAAACTAAAGAGCCTGTTCATTTATTTAAAAATGTGGCTCGTGAACGCTCAAGAAGGAAGCTAAACTTGTAGGTTTTCTTCAAGAGACAACTACAGTTTGAAAATTATGGGTGTTAGTGTAATGACGACAACTTAAAAATAGCAAATTGGCAGATTTTACATTTGATGTCAAGTAAGGTTTGAAAACCAGGCCGAAAATTGAAGAGGGATTGTTATGTACATAGTATACGTATGTCAGAGCCCTGAATTTCCAATTTATTCGATCATCAAGGTCCTCGCCTGTTCAACTTACTATTAAAAACGGGATAATGGCAAGTGATACGAACTCAATACTTGACATAACTGCGACAGATATGCGAAACAAGGAAATTGAATTCATCAGGACATATTTCAATAGTGTTGGACAACCAGAGCATTATTTGCTGGAAAATATGAAGGAGATGCTGAAAGTTTGGAGAGGATCTTAGAATCTTAAGCTGTGTTATCGTCGACGTCATTTGTTTGTTCACAAACGCACAACAAACGCAAAGACCACAAACGCTTTTCAATAAATGGTAAGGAAACAGTGCATAGCATCAAAAAGTACGGCACTGCAAAAATACAATATGTAACTGAAAAAAGTGTTCATTGGAGTTTACTTTACAAATTTTAATTTACGCTAATTATTACAAAAGTACTAACGGACCTAAGCATCATCTCTACGTGTTTTTATAGCTCCACCCGTTTTCGAAAATAATAAAGGCAATGTACCAATTGCGATTTTCGGAAATCCATTTACAATAGAAAGCACATAAACTAGGCAATGCATACATGGATCAGAAAAGGTCAGATTTCAAACGCTGTATTACAACGAGATATATTAAACAGTTATCACATTTTAAATCAACAGGCTAAGCAAAATGACCATTTTTAGGACTCGCGAGGAGGGGCAAATAAACAAAAAAAATCTGCTGAGCACAATTACGCCACCAAAACATATGAAAAATTGCAGAACAGTCAAAAATTTGGCTCCCCAGCAACAATCCAGATTCGTGAAATAAAAGTTTTTACGGACTACTATCTTGACAAGACTCTTTATCCAACAGCGAACAGCTTGAAAAAAGCGAAAAAAACCGTTTTAGATAAACTATGAGCAGACATTTCTAAGACTCAAAACAATATGACAACCTCATCAAAGTGCTACGTGAAACTACCTATAGTAATAGAGTAATAAGTAAAATTCACGAGCTTGTCAGTAAGAAAGTTACTCAACCCTTTGTTTCCAAGTTGAGCCTTGTTCGAAATCAGGCATTCACCGTCAACGAACTAAAACCTTTGAAAGAAGCGCTTGACTACGCAAATAAACTGCACGAAATCTTAAATCGAAATTGCCCAGTCAGTGAAGGTTTCCCAATTGGAAATAGTCCAACAAAAAAGCGTTCGAAAGTAACAAGTGTGGAGTATCATCAAGTATTTCATAAAAAATTGCCTCTTCGTTCCAAAAAAAAGCATGCTAATAACTATATCACAACAATGATCCCAGACATAAGTTAAGAGCGCGCGGTATCATCAAACAAGGTGAGATAATTTTCATTTTCGCAACCTCGACTGACGAGCTCTTTTTACAAATTATAATTTTTACTCACAATTTACGTTCCAGAATGCACTTGAAGAGCCAGTTGAGCAAGAATTGTTGTATGAGAGTGAAACAGAGGAAATCCAGGAATCACAAGAAAGCACTGAAGTACCGCCAATCAACAACTTGGAACATCAAGAAAGGTCAGTGATTCATTGCAAAACGAGCTGAAATTGTGAATGTATCTTGATGCACTATGTTTTTAAATAATATAGCACCAACAATGATACTTGCAAACAGTTGACATACAATTCATTGTTTCTGACTCCAAGGCAACGAATAAATGTCTTTATAGAAAGACAGTGTCTTGGGGATACTGTGCAGGAATTTGGTCCTGTGAATGTATCAAAAGTAGATCTTTGGTCACTTGTCAGTCCAAAAGATATAACTGAAAAAGAATTAAAAATTATTAAAAAAGAAGTTACCACATTCAAACCTGGTTGGCTGACTGACTATGTAAGAGAAAAAAGCGTCTAATATAGTCTTCTTATTTATCATTATAAGTTATTGTTTATAACCATGAGTGCTATGTACACGTAAAACTGGCGAGGAAATCTCTTAAAACTATGCTTTCTTTTGATTTTAGGTAATTGACGCTTTTTTGTGGAGTTTGACTGAAAACTACACTACTGTTCTTGCAGCAGAATCATTTATTTCGACTTTGTTAAAACAACTCAAGCACAAGACGACATGGGCTAATAGATCTTTTCACCAAACCAAAATTATCCTTTTTCCAATCAACATCCATGACATTCACTGGACACTACTGGTAAGTATTTGAGTTAATCAATGAAGGCAATAATAAAATATAGACATGCATTATATGCATACTTAGCCCACGCGAGTCCACATATTTACATGCAAAAATTACTATCTATAGAAACATTAACTAATTTAATTCCTTAATTAACAAAGAGAAAATTTTTAACCAAATGCAACAGTAATTTTGTGTAATATAGGCTATAGATAAGTTCTCAAAAACAGACTCTACTTGACCACTTGGAGGAAGTGCAGACAAAAAGAGACCTGATAAACAGATGATGTATCATATAAACAAACAAAGTGGTCACGTTTGTCACTGTTTTAGTGCTTTGGTAGATGTAAAAACAGGTTGGAACTCAAGCTCATGGCAATGTTTTGAACCACTCCATTGTAAACAGGAAGATATGTATAACTGTGGAGTGTACATATGCTTGGTAAGCTTGAAATAGCCTAACTTTACTTGAATAGCTATATTACAAACATGATTATTCAGTAACGCTCATTTCGCATCAGTTTGCTTGATTTCTAGCCCTTGGCTTGGACTATCAAAACCCAGCAAACATAGAGACTGAGAGAAAACAAATCCTGTCAACATTACTTGGGTCTTGCTATGATGATATTACACAATAAGGCATAAATAACATTTAGTTGAATATTTTATATGGAATTCATTATGAATATCTTTAGGAGCAAATTGTGGCTGTTTGCAAAATATGCAGAGAGGATGACAATGAAGACTGGCTGGGTTGTGATCAATGTGGTCAATTTTTCATGCAAGTTGCCTTAATGTTGACTTTGCCATAACCTTGTCAACACATTTTAGATGCAGATAAAATTATTATCAATATTATATGACATGCAACAAAATCATTGTTATGGTATCAGTGCAAATTGTGCAATTAAAATGAGTGCTTCAAAATATAGTAATGTGTGAATGATAAATACTTTAATTTAAGGTAAAATGAACTGGAAGATTTAATTGATTCGGTACAATTGTGCTTGCCACTAATTGAATCTCCCACATACAATGAATAGTTTGAAACTGTTGATGAAATGTTACAATAAACAACAAGTTTTACAAATATATCTGAAATAAAATGGCTTATTCCTATTTCTTACCTTTGTGAGGATTCTTCTGGCCAAAAATTTTCAAAAATTCATGTAAATGCGTCTACATAATTACTCTGATACGAAATTCAAACGCAAAATCAAAGTTGAATGAACTTTTAAGAGATAGTCCCACTTGTCCCACATCTCGTATGTAATCCCTATGTAATCAATTATTCATTGTTTGTAAAACTGCCTGCAGGCTCAGCCTCCCTCTCCGCCCGTGGTAAATTCAATCCCACGTACTGACCTCTTGCTCACAAACGTAAAATAGCAACACTAAAAAATGCGAATTTCATTTCAATCATTGAGAGTTTATGTTCCGTATTCATATATGTAGCGAAATCATCCTTGCCACGCTCAGTATTGGTATTTTTTCCTTATTTGATATTTTCTGTTTGAATATCATTGCTATTTCTTTTGCACACAAACTTTATTCAAATTTTAGTAATTGATATTAATTTGTCGTTGGAAAATTTGATCAATTTCTTGACATTTGTGGCATCAGTCTCGATACTCGTCTTCCAAACCTTTATCAGTGTACTACAGGTATTCTTGGTAGTAGCTTTAAAAGAAAATTATAGCCACTAAAGTTTAATAATATTGTATTGCGGAAATGGTGTTGTTGTGTTGGTTAAAATAGAAGAATTAGCAAAGTACAAGTCATACAAGTGGTAGAGATACAAGTCATACAAATGACTCAAGTACAACTAAAAAAAAATCATGTTTCTTACTACAATTTCTACTTTTAGGGAGTAATATTAATGTTGACGCCGTCATTGCAGTGGTGGACAACATGGAAAATCAATTTAGCAATTTTTTGTATTAGCATAACAATAAAGAGAATCTTCTAAAGAAAGATTTGACAGTGCGATAATATTCACTCCTGTTATGCAAAGTAGACACTTATTTATTTTGACTATTTATATCAGAAGACACGTTATTAGATGTATGAACAAAGATTTATTATTACGTGGCATAACTTTACTTCAATTTGAAGTACACCTGGGATTACAATATTTTCGCTGAAAGGGAAGTGAAGTTTGTTTTATTGTATGAAGATAAGTAAAACCTATACTTTCTATATTGAATGACGCCAAACTTAGCTAAATAAGGAAAATATTTCTGCCTAATCGAAATAATTCAAAATCTTGTCAATGCTCCATTGTAACAGTATTAATCATATCATTTAAACTACAAAGAAATTTTGTCTCATAGTACGTGCATGATTATAGGGACAAAGTGTTCTTGATAGCACAAGATAAAAACCCAAAAGATAACACTGTGAAGGTTTGTATATTAGATCATGGCATCTTTACAGCAATGTAAACGAAGACGAGTCGGTGATGTGTACATAATGCGCACAAGAATGTCAACTAAATTCATATATAGACGTTTATGCTTGCATACTTATAAAGAATCCGCGCTGTTCACCATCAATCACGAATCAAAGCCATACAAAACATGTTTTATCAAATTTTTATCAAGGCTGTTTTTAGTGTTTTGGCAGTTGTCAACTTGGCATCATAGAGATATCGAAGGTTTTATAGACCATCAATTGAAGCAGTTACGCTTGCACAATAGCTTATAAACAATGAAAAAAAATTTGAACTAATAAATAACAAAGAACTTAAGATAGTTAAAAAATGATCAATTACTTATCAGTCGAATATGCAAAATTTTCATTTAATGGCAGTTGCTTCTAGCAGGATTTAAAATTAATCATTCCTCCCTGTTAAATGAACTTCTACAATATACCGTTCAACTTCCTAAACAATTCCAAACCTAAAAGCTCTATTGGCTTATAAATCAGTAGCATTACAAATAATACAACTATCACGTCAGACCAACATAAAGTGAAGAGACTGAAATATTATGCTGCGTACTTACTTCTCCTCTAGACTATAATGAGTGAACTCTATTAATGACAGTTCAACACATTATAGTTCCACCGAAACCTAAACCAATCATTTCGCGAATTAGCAAAAAACACGCGTGATCTGCACGATGTCCTAAACCAATCACAATGTCTTTTTTAAGTGTCACGCGTGCATGTAACTCACACGGATTATAAATTAAAAATAAACTTACTGTCAATGGGTTAAGAACGTGCAGTAGCAATGATTAAAATTTACTTTAGTGTTGCTCCTTTAATTCTGTGTTAGAAGAACTGGATTACATATGGTTGAGTGGTGCTAATTATTATTCTGTAATGCAACTGATACTTAGACTGCATTATCTAGATCATATAAAGGAGAATGTCATTTACATCAAAAATAAAGTTTTTGATTGAAGATCGTGCATTTAACAACTTTCATGGTGAAACATATGTCTAGCTAAAGTGCTTTATTGTTCCTGTTAAGAGCCAATACACAGCAACCTGTTGGGGCTTTTGTTTTGAGAATCGCTGGTACTACAGAAAATTGTAAAAATGCAAGATATTTATCCTAATCATAAAAATGACGCTATAACTTGCATGGAACTTCTTTTCAAAGTAATCACTGATGCAATTAAAGCAAAACAAATTAAAATAGTTTTAAAATTTCTATTTCTCTAGTTTTATAAACTCGTTAACCGTTGTAGATGTGAGTCAGTATGATTAGAAGAAATTTTTGGTTTAATAAACATCCAAAAAAGAGGCTCGGAGTGATACTTTTGGTTTCTTAAATATTCATAATCTATTCATATTCAACTGCAAATTTTAAGAAAACACTTGTACATTACCATCATAATCATGAATTTGCTTAGAGATTACGTGGCTTCTCTAATCATTTCTCCATTATCAAAAAACAATGTTTGCTAAAACGGAAATTAAGCCGTTTTATGGCAAATACTTAAAACAGACGACTAAAGTTAGCTCTTCATTACAAGCAAAACAATTATTGATGAGCACTTAAAGAAGTAAACAGAGGTGGGAAAATGATAAAAGTGAAGATGAATCTTTTAATGGTATCCATGTTGTTGCTATCAAATACAGTCAGTGCATCGTTTAAGAAAAAAAACTCAAAGGTTTGGAAGCATTAACTTTGTGAAATGGTTTAAGTTAAAATTGCGATTCAAGAATCAAGTGCATAATTTAACGCAATAGTCTTTTTTTAAGGTCGCGAGAAACTTTATTCGTGTAGTTTATTTATACTTCTTGAGAATTAAAATTATAATTTGCAAACTCTTTTGTATAAGCACCCAGCAAATAGATTCCTATGAATTAAGGTGGAAAAGGGCGTTGTTCAACTCGGAACATCTCAAAGAAATTTACAAAAACAAGATCATAGTATCCGTTGAGAAATACATTAGGATCGGAGAGACTTCAATGCAATAGAAAGAGGCTGTTATTATCCCTTCAACCATGTTCAATTTGAGCCACAATTCTATATTTATAGAGTCTTCACTGTTTAGGCAAAAACATTTTTCTCTACCGTTTTCAAGCTCAATGTTCAGCAAGCTGTGGAATTCCTGGGGTTCCAGGAGTTCCCGGTGTACCTGGAGCAGCCGGAGGAGACGGTTTGAAAGGAGACGTAGGATCTAAAGGAGAAAAAGGTGAACGAGGTAATCCTGGTCCTTCGTTGAAAAATGACACGAGCCTTTCAAGTTGGAAACAATGTGCTTGGAAAAGAGGCGATGGTAAAGATGATGGATTAATTCAGGTGCAAAAAGTATATGAAATATTTCTTTTGTTATGAATTATTACATATTGTTTTAGCAATGATTTATTTTCATTTTAGAATTGTGTATTCACAAAAAAGTTTGACAACACTTCCCTTCAAGTGTTTTATGGAGGAAACTTGCGAATTTCAGGTTGCAATGGTTGTTGCAAACGTTGGTATTTTACTTTCGATGGAGTTGAATGTAACAACCCTTTTCCTATTGATGGAGTTCTTTACATGGCCAATGGAAAGTCACAAAATATCCATCGACATCGTCACATTGAAGGATATTGTAACAAAATCCATAAAGGAAAAGTGCAAGTTGGATTCCGGGTCGGCAATTGTGCAAGCTATGGTAATGCAGATGCAGAGAGTGGATGGAATTCAGTTTCTCGTATTGTTATTAAAGAGGTTCCTCCTCCACAAGAATAATTCCTTTATTCACTTTTCCATTTAACTCTATTTTATGTTAAAGCTTCCGTTTAGTTAAAAATTCATGTGTATTTTATGACAATAATTCAGTTTTCTAATTTTAACGATTTGAGTAAGTCTATTATTTACTCCTCAATGAATAATACTATTAATGCCAGATAAAACGAAAATAAATTGATTAAAATTTTGAATTCAATCATAAAGAAGATTAATTATTCTTACAATGAACTACATGAATAAATATTTGTTTTAAGGAACTGTTTCACTCGGATCGTTGTTGCGAGTAAAAATTAGGCCAAATAAAAGTTATTGCAATTTCAGAATCTTTTTCTTTTTGATACATGGAATAAAGAGAGACGCAGGTTCAGCAAAATAAGAGACGCCGCGGAACCAAGAACTTCTGGTTTTAAGGGGGGGAGTATAATTTTATGATGCAAACATAAACATACTTTACAAAATGGAAGCAATGTGCTTGGAAGAAATATGACGAGAATGATGATAAATTACTTTAGGTAGGTGGACAATTGCGAATTTGTCAGTTTACAAGAAAGTCAGCAATTTCAGACGTACTCAAAAAATTGCTTGATTAATCTTTTGTGAAAGTTGTCAATGGGATCATTGGTAAACTCAAACTAAATGAAGATCATACATTTTGATCTAAGTTTTTTCACACAGCATTTGGACCATTTTAAATTTTATCCATGCCTTATTGCTTTGTTTAAACAAAGATCAACACAGTGGCGGATCCAGGGTACGTCAAAATAATGTTACTTCCGTAACAGATTTACACTTATACACAACAAATGTTTAATCAACAAAATTTCACTAACATTTACTTTATTTAAAAATGCCACCTTTATTTTTACAACTATTGCACAAATTTCAAGCAATTAGTGTAAGTTGTCAATAGGATCATTGGTAAACTCAAACTAAATGAAGATCATACATTTTGATCTAAGTTTTTTCACGCAGCATTTGGACCCCTTTAAATTTTACTTATGCCTTATTGCTTTGCAGTGTACGTCAAAATAAAATTATAGCTTCTCAATTTTAAATTCAAATTGCTTTCAGAAAAGCACTATTGTTTTTAATTTATAAAGAATATACTTTTACCAATGTATTACCCTCTAAGGTGTTTAGAAATGTAAATATACGCCAAAATGTGCTGCAGTAATTTATTTTGACGTAGTTTGGACCCGCCACTGAATCAACATTTCAACCAAGAACAAGGAACACATATCATCTGGGTAATGTATGATTATTAGATCGTACTGACTATTTCCACTAAACACTGATTCGACGACGATTAGTGAATTTCACTTTAGTCTACATTTAGATAAATAGGTGTCAGTAATAAGTAAGCCTGTTGTAAATTAAATGCACTTACATTGGATTTAAATCGAAAAAATTCTAGACCGTCCCTTAATCACAACGACAAAAGGTGCTCTCAAGGACTTAAACTGTTTAATCAATGAAACAAATTGCTTCTAAACAATTATGCATTCATCTCCCTAGTTTGTTCCATGCATAGGGATTGTGGAAGATTGACAAATGGAGTTTGGGTCATGTTCATATATGCATGCTATAATCCGAAGTAAACAAGGGAGTTCAAAGACCAGCAAATTAACAAGCAATGATAAATCATCACAAATGATTACGTCTATATTCATTTATATACATTTATGTACTTTATGCATATACATTTCATTTATAGAAAGTTTTGTTTATTTGATTTTCCGTAGTTACAGTGCTCGATGCGTTAGAACAGAGCATAAATATTGATAATAAGAAGAAAATACACAAAAACTACAATTTCATCCCGACAGGCCAGTTCAACTGCCTACAATCATCTGTCATCTACCAAACAACTGTTAAATGTTAGGACACTAACACAACTGAAACCTACATCGGACTTAAAGAAAATAAATTTAAGACTCGACACAAGAACCACACTGCCTCTACCGAACTCAGTAACACATATGGACACTAAAAGGCATCAACATCGCTCATGATATCTCATGGAGCATCATTACTCACAACAAATCGTACAGCAGCGCCAACATAAGATGCAACCTATGCCTGAAAGAACTTGTGTCCTCTTGTCGCGATAGACACTTTTATCCAATTTGTAATCATACACCTAGCTTATTATGTAATTCTACCTTAATTTTTACCCTAAATTCCTCTTGTATATATAGTTAAACACATGCTTTTGTATTCATTTATTATTATCCCCTGATGATTGAAAAATCACGAAAGAGATTTGTCGGGATGAAATTGTTGTTTTTGTGTATTTTCTTCTTATCAATATTTCATTTATATGTACTTAAATGTTATACATATAATGAATAAAAAATTTGCTTGATAACTGAAATCAGCGTATATAATTTCCTCCGTTGTGTAGAGCAACAAGTATCCCCGGTGTACCTGGTCCTCCAGGAAGAGATGGGGTAAGACGAGATGCTGGATCACCTGGAAGTTCTGGGTTACAAGGGTTAAAAGGTGAAAAAGGAGAACCTGACGCTCATGCAAACAATGAACTGTTTTCATCTATATGGAAGCAATGTGCTTGGCAGGAATACGACATTAAGAATAATGGATTGATGCAGGTGAGCTGGAAAGGTTCAATTATTTCTGATAATATTTCACTTTATGTATTTTACTTTTATGATTTGGATAAAGTTTGAATAATGAATTGTACTTAAATGATTTGAAGAGCTTAGCAAAACTTAATAAGAAAGCTTCTTCGTAAGATTTTCATATAGTAATACATTTTAGAGCAACTCTATCTTAAACGATTCCATTTGAAACAAAGACCAATGAAACATCCAATATTTGACAACGAATTGTGGTCTCTGATCTTGATCAGGAACAAGCAGTTATCAAATTTAAGAAGCTTGTCATATACATTACTAGAATTATACATTACAAATCATGTACACATACATTTATAATATTGAAAATTAATAATCCAGGCATTAATGTTGTAAAATAAAAGTTTTGATTCTGAAGAAGGCTTGAAGCACAGAGTTCTCGTTGTTAAAATGCTACCTTGATTCTTGCAAGTGCAGAGTCTTTGTTGTTAGGATGCTTCCTTCATTCTTGCAAGCGCAGTGTCATAGTTGTTAGGATGCTTCCTTGATTCTTGCAAGCGCAGAGTCTTCGTTGTTAGGAACCTTCCTTGATTCTTGAAAGCGCAGCGTCTTCGTTCTTAGGATGCTTTCTTGATTCTTGCAAACGCAGCGTCTTCGATGTTAGGATGCTTCCTTTATTCTTGCAAACGCAGTGTCCTCGCTTTTAGGATGCTTTCTTGATTCTTGAAAGCGCATCGACTTCGTTGTTCGGATGCTTCCTTAATTCTTGCAAGCGGAGAGTCTTCGTTGTTAGGATGCTTCATTGATTCTTGCAAGCGCAGAGTCTTCATTGCTAGGATGCTTTCTTGATTCTTGCAAGAGCAGCGTCTTCGTTGTTAGGATGCTTTATTGATTCTTGCAAGCCCAGCGTCTTCGTTGTTAGGATGATTCCTTGATTCTTGCAAGCGCAGCGTCTTTGTTTTTACAATGCTTCTATGATTCTTGCAAGCACAGAGTCTTTGATGTTAGGATGCTTCCTTGATTCTTGCAAGCGCAGAGTCTTCGTTGTTAGGATGCTTCCTTGATTCTTGCAAGCGCAGAGTCTTCATTGCTAGGATGCTTTCTTGATTCTTGCAAGAGCAGCGTCTTCGTTGTTAGGATGCTTTATTGATTCTTGCAAGCGCAGCGACTTCGTTGTTAGGATGCTTTCTTGATTCTTGCAAGCCCAGCGTCTTCGTTGTTAGGATGATTCCTTGATTCTTGCAAGCGCAGCGTCTTTGTTTTTACAATGCTTCTATGATTCTTGCAAGCACAGAGTCTTTGATGTTAGGATGCTTCCTTGATTCTTGCAAGCGCAGAGTCTTCGTTGTTAGGATGCTTCCTTGATTCTTGCAAGAGCAGCGTCTTTGATATTTGGGGGATTCATCGCTTCGTGGACATAAGCTAACTCGAATCTATATAGCTAACATTCATCACATTTCAGTTAACTACGTATTACTTACAAAATCAAAACAAATAAAAAAAAATTTATTTCCTTTATCAACCTTTACATCCTTCACAATAGGCAATGACTCTCAAAGTCATTTCGTTTTAACTTTACATAAATGTAATGCAATATTACAGTTTAACTAACAACCACTGATTCATTACATTTTATTGTGCTAGAACTCAGACTTTTTTCAATGCCACATGGAAATGACATAATCTTTAGTAAAACGGCCTAAGAGAGTCAGAACCAAAGCACTGTGTACATTTCACTCAAACGTGACGTACTGACCACTTGCCCACAAATGTAAAATAGATACACTAAAAAGGGGAATTTCATCTTAATTATTGAGAGTTTATATTTCGTATTCATAAATCTAGCGAAATCATCCCTACGACGCTCAGTATTGGTGTTTTTTTCTAGTTTGATGTTTTCTGTTTGAATATCATTGCTGTTTCTTTTGCACACAAACTTTATTCAAATTTTAATAATTGATATTAATTTGTCGTTGGAAAATTTAATCAATTTCTTAACATTGGTGGCATCACTCGCCTTCCAAACCTTTATCAATGTATTACAGGTATTCTTGGTAGTAGATTTAAAAGAAAGTTATAGCCATTAAAGTTTAATTATATTGTATTGCGGAGATGGTGTTGTTGTGTTGCTTAAAATAGCAGAATTAGCAAAAACCAGAGCAGTCATTTAACTTATAAATAAGTAAGTCTTAAAATCGTAACTTGTGAATTCCATAATTAACTGGCTATTTGTGATAAATTTTTGAGATTTCTGTGACGCTGTAATTGTGAGGTAAAGATACAAGTCATACAAGTGACTCAAGTACATTTCAAAAAATCATGTTTCTTACCGCAAACACTTTCTACTTTTAAGGAGTAATATTAATGTTGACGCCGTCATTGCTGTGGTAGACAACAAATAAAATCAATTTAGCAATTTTTCGACTTAGCATAACAATAAATAGAATATTCTAAAGAAAGATTTGACATTGCGATAATATTCTCTCCTGTTATGCAAAGTAGACGCTTATTTATTTTGACTATTTATATAAGAAGACACGTTATTATATATAAGAACAAAGATATATTATTACGTGGCTTGACTTTAATTTGAAGTACACCTGCGATTAAAATATTACTGCTGAAGGGGAAATGAAGTTTATTGTAGTTGTATGAAGCTAAGTAAAACCTATACTTTCCATATTGAATGACGCAAAACTTCGCTAAATAAGGAAAATATTTCTGCCTAATAGAAATAATTCAAAATCTTGTCATTGCACTATTGTAACAGTATTAATCATACCATTTAAACTATAAAGAAATTTTGTCTCATAGTACGTGCATGATTATAAGGACAAAATGTTCTTGATAGCACAAGATAAAAACCCAAAAGACAACACTGTGAAGGTTTGTGTATTAGATCATGGCACTTTTACAGCAATGCAAACGAAGTTGTGTCTGTGATGTGTACAAAATGCGCACAAGAATGTCAACTAACTTCATATATAGACGTTTATGCTTGCATACTTATAAAGAATCTGCGCTGTTTACTATCAATCACGAATCAATGGCATACAAACATGTTATCAAATTTTTATCATGGATGTTTTTACTGTTTTGGCAGTTGCCAACTTGGCATCATAGAGATATCGAAGGTATCATCTATGATGCCAAGTTGGCAACTATTGAAGCAGTTACGCTTGAAGAATAGTTTATAAACAATGAAAAATAATATTTTAATGTTTGAATGTTGATTTTAGGTCTGTTGCAGATGATTTAAGAAAAATTTAGTCACGGCATTTTCAAAATACCGTTTAACTTCCTAAACAATTCCAAACCTGAAAGCTATATTGGCTTATAAAACAGTAGCATTACAAAATATACAACTACACGTCAGACAAAAATAAAGTGAAGAGACTGAAATATTATGCTGCGTACTTACTTCTCCTCTACACTTTAATGAGTGAACTCTATTAATGACAGTTCAACACATTATAGTTCCACCGAAACCTAAACCAATCATTTCGCGAAGTAGCAAAAAACACGCGTGATCTGCACGATGTCCTAAACCAACCACAATTGTCTTTTTTAAGTGCCACGCGTGCATGTAACTCATACGGATTTCAAAGTAAAAATAAACTTACTGTCAATGAATTAAGAACGTGCATTAGCAATTATAAAAATTTACTTTAGTGTTGTGTCTTTAATTCCCTTAAATGTAGTTGAATGATGCTAATTATTATTCTTTAATGCACCTGACATTTAGACAGCATTATCTAGATGATATAAAGGAGAGTGTCATTTACATAAAAAATAAAGTTTTTGATTAAAGATCGTGCATTTAAACAACTTTCATGGTCAAACATATGTCTAGCTAAATTGCTTTATACTTCTTGTTAAGAGCTAATACTTAGCAACCTGTTGGGGCTTTTGATTTGAGAATCGCTGGTGCTACAGAAAATAGTAAAAATGCAAGATATTTATCCGAATCATTAAAATGACGTTATAACTTGCATGGAACTTCTTTTCAAAGTAATCACCGATGCAATTAAAGCAAAACAAATTAAAATAGTTTTACAATTTCTATTTCTCTAGCTTTTTTGCACTCGTTAACCGTTGTAGATGCGAGTCAGTATGATTATAAGAAATTTTTGGTTTAATAAATATCCAAAAAAGAGGCTCGGAGTGATTTTTGGTGGTTTCTTAAATATTCATGATCTATTCATATTCAACTGCAAATTTTAAGCAAACAATTGTAGATTACCAACATAATCATGAATTTGCTTAGAGACTACGTGGCTACACTACTCATTTCTCCATTATCAAAAAACAATGTTTGCTGAAACGGAAATGAAGCCGTTTTATTGCAAATACTTAAAACAGAGGATTAAAGTTAGCTCTTCATTACAAGCAAAACAATTAATTGATGAGCACTTAAAGAAGTAAACTGAGGTGGGAAAATGATAAAAGTGAAGATGAATCTTTTAATGGTATCCATGTTGTTGCTATCAAATACAGTCAGTGCATCGTTTAAGAGAAAAAACTCAAAGGTTTGGAAGCATTAACTTTGTGAAATAATTCAAGTTAAAATTTTGGTTTAAGAATAAAGTGCATATTTTAACGAAATAGTCTATTTTTAAGGTCGCGAGAAACTTTATTCGTGCAGTTTATTTACAACTTTTGAGTATTGAAATTATAATTTGCAAATTCTTTTGTATAAGCACACAGCAAATAGACTCCTGTGAATTAAGGTGAAAAAGGGCGTTGTTCAACTCGGAACATCTCAAAGAAATTTACAAAAACAAGATCATACTATCCGTTGAGGAATACATTAGAATCGGGGAGACTTCAACGCAAAAGAAAGAGGCTGTTATTATTCCTTCAACCATATTAAATTTGAGCCAGAATTCCATATTTATAGAACCTTCACTGTTTAGGTAAAAACATTTTTCTCTAACGTTTTCAAGGCTCAATGTTCAGCAGGCTCTGGATTTCCCGGGGTTCCAGGAGTTCCTGGTGTACCTGGAGCAGCCGGACGAGACGGTTTAAAAGGAGACGTAGGATCTAAAGGAGAAAAAGGTGAACGAGGTAATCCTGGTCCTCCATTGAAAAATGACATGAGTTTTTCAAGTTGGAAACAATGTGCTTGGAAAAGAAACGATGAGAAAGATCATGGATTAATTCAGGTGCAACAAGTATATGAAATATTTCTTTTGTTATGAATTATTACATATCGTTTTAGCAATGATTTAATTTCATTTTAGAATTGTGTATTCACAAAAAAGTTTGGCAACACTTCCATTCAAGTGTTTTATGGAGGAAACTTGCGAATTCATGGGTGCAATGATTGTTGCAAACGTTGGTATTTTACTTTCAATGGAGTTGAATGTAAAAACCCTCTTCCCATTGATGGAGTTCTTTACATGGCCAATGGAAAGTCACAAAATATCCATCGACATCGTCACATTGAAGGATATTGTAACAAAATTCATAAAGGAAAAGTGCAAGTTGGATTCCGGGTCGGCAATTGTGCTGGTTATGGTAACGCAAATGCATACAGTGGATGGAATTCAGTTTCTCGTATTGTTATTAAAGAGGTTCCTCCACCACAAGAATAATTCCTTTTGTATGTTGTCTTCTGGTTAATCAGTATTAAATGATTCCCGTTCTAGTTTTCTTTCGTTTTTTACTGTATTGTACATCTAGTATGCAACATTTATTTCACAATCATATACATATATTGCAATCAATTCTTCTTCTTATCAACTGTTTAATCAACGAAACAAATTGCTTCCAAACAATTATGCATTCATCTCCCTAGTTTGTTCCATGCATAGGGATTGTGGAAGATTGATAAATGGGGTTGGGGTCATGTTCATATATGCATGCAGCATGCTATAATCCGAAGTAAACAAGGGATTTCAAAGACCAACAAATTAACAAGTAATGATAAATCATCACAAATGATTACGTCTACTTTAATTTATATACATTTATGTACTTTATGTATATATATTTCATTTATATAAAGTTTTGTTTACTTGATTTTCCGTAATTACAGTGCTTGATGCGTTAGAGCAGAGCATAAATATTGATAATAAGAAGAAAATACACAAATTGTAGAATTTCATCCCGACAAGCCGGTTCAACTGACTACAATCATCTGTCATCTACCAAGCAGCTGCTAAACGTTAGGACACTAACACAACTGAGACCTACATCGGAATTACAAAAAAATAATTTAAGACTCGACACAGGAACCACACTGCCTCTACCGAACTCAGTAACACATATGGACACTAAAAGACAACAACATCGCTCTCGATATCTCATGGAACATCATTACTCACAACAAATCGCACAACAGCGCCAACAAAAGATGCAACCTATGCCTGAAAGAAAAATTCTTCATCACCTACAAACCACAACTATCATCACTCAACAAACGTAACAAACTTGTCTCCTCTTGTCGCCATAGACACAAGGCACTTTTATCCAATTTGTAATCGTACACCTAGCTTATTATGTAATTCTTCCTTAATTTTTACCCTAACTTCCTCTTGTATATATAGTTAAACACATGCTTTCGTATTCATTTATTATTATCCCCTGAAGAGTTAAAAATCACGAAACAGATTTGTCGGGATGAAATTGTAGTTTTTGTTCATTTTCTTCTTCTTATCAAGATTTCATTTATATGTACTTAAATGTTATACATATAATGAATAAAAAATTTGCTTGCTAACTGAAATCAGCGTATATAATTTCCTCCGTTCTGTAGAGCAACAGGTATTCTCGGTGTCCCCGGTGTAAGTATTTTACTTTTATGATTTGGATAAAGTTTGAATAATGAATTGTACTTAAATGATTTGAAGAGTTTAGCAAAACTTAATAAGAAAGCTTCTTCGTAAAATTTTCATGGAGTAATACATTTTAGAGCAACTCTATCTTAGACGATTCCATGTGAAACAAAGACCAATGAAACACCCAACCATTTTGACTGTTGTGTAACAGCATGAATACAGCATATCTAAAATATTTGACAACGAACTGTGTTCTCTGATCTTGTTCAGGAACAAGCAGTTATCAAATTTAAGAAGCTTGTCATGTACATTACTAGAATTATACATTGCAAATCATGTACACATACATTTATAATCTTGAAAATTAATAATCCAGCATTAATGTTGTAAAATAAAAGTTTTGATTCTGAAGAAGGCTAGAAGCACCGAGTCGAAAGCTCAATAAAAATTATTTTTTAAAATCCGGAGAAACTTTTATTTTACAAAATACATCTATATACATTTATAAAATAAACACAATGAAACGCGTGTGCTGATTAGTCTAGAGCTGTGTTTCCATTAGCCTGTACAAAGCACATCTGAGCTCAACCAATCAAATCAATCATAACAATCAGTCAGTCAATGAGAATTTGTAAATCGATCATGAATACATTTTTGGAGGAAAAATTAAAATATTTGTCTTTTTCGCATTATTGTTATTTTATAAAAGAAATAAAAGATGTTTCCATGTGCAACCATCGACCTTCGGTCTCGAGCTTGCACTGATCTGCTCTCGAGTTCTCCCAAAGGTCTCCTCGGTTTCCATAAGTCTGTGCAAACACAGTAAACATCTTTTATTTCTTAAATAAACTATCAAATCATATACCTTACGAGAAGAAATATTGCATTTCATCATCAACTTAGCTAATAATATGATATTTCAGTCTTTTTGAAAAGTTGCTAAAACTGAACTAAATTCTATGAGCGATAGACTTGAATGAAAAAATTAGTTCACTGTACAGCCATTATGAGATAAAACACGAGAAATTAAAAACAATAAAAGCGAGAAAGCAAGACATTTTATTATAAAACGGGTTTAATAATATTGTGCTGGCTTTTTGGAGAAATGTTGCAGATCATATCATATGAATTTCAATATCTTGAAAATTCCGCTACAGTTTTGTTTCTAAAGAACTGTGTATTTACGAAAAAGTTTGACAACACATCTCTTCAAGTTTTTTATGGAGGAATCTTGCAAATCTCTGGATACACAGGTTGTTGCAAACGTTGGTATTTTACTTTCAATGGAGTAGAATGCATATATCCTCTTCCTGTTTATGGGATATTTCTCATGGAATCTACAAGCTTAGAAAGTATCCTGTGAAATCATCACATTGAAGGATATGGTAACAAAATCTATAAAGGAAAAGTGCAAGTTGGTTTCTGGGTTGGAAATTGTCCATCTTTAGGTTACGCAAATGCACACACTGGGTGGAATACAGTTTCTTGTATAGTTATTAAAGAGGTTCCTCCTCCAAAAGACAAATTTTACCCTTTTCACGTTTTTATTCGACTCTTTTTTGTATCAAAGTTTCTGTTTCGTGTATTATAAGAGATGTGTATTGCAAGACATGAGGTAATTTAGTTACCTAACATTACCGAGCTAATTTAGTCAACTATTTACTCGTCGCTCGCAAATAATTAAAAATTTTACATTCCATATTACAGTAAATGAATTATTCTTAAAGCTAGTTACCAAATATTTATTTGTTTTGAGTAGCTGCTTTACATTGATTGTGATTGTGATCACGTTGTTGGGGTTAAAATATCTAGTTGAAATTGTAGTTTGACAATGTTTCCTTGTCGTAAAGTCCTTTTTGTCGATAAAGAAACGTTGCCTACGTTGCTTCAAAAAATTTCAGCTCAGCAAGCGTCGAAAAACTTACCTGTGATGAAAAAATTTAATTGCTACAGAAAAAAATATACTTTGTGACTAAAAACTCTTATGTATAAAGTAAAAATTTTCCAACAATATTGCCTGGTTAAATTATTGTTTATTCGACTTTATATATATAGCTAGCTATGTACTTCTTTCTAATTTTTTGAAGATTTAAATCGGTTTTCAAGCAAATATTTTATTATTTAGTCAAATAATTGTGAAGTCATTTGAATCTGGCTGTCATATAGAGCCAACAAAATGAGGCTAGCATTCTTTTCAACGCAAAGAAATCGTTCTGCAGAAAAATTATATATTGTAACTATTACAAAAATACTTTGGAAATAGTGAGATGTGTTGATAATGTTGTATAATGCTCAATTTTTTACCAATAAAAGATCTCAGTGCTCTTATTAACGATTCATTTCTGATGACTTTGTCAGTTCGATCCGTGCTGCAAGTCTTACTTAACTCTGCAATATTTAATAAAATTTTTGTTTTTATAGAAAGGAAACGATTTTCGTTGACTTCTCTCAATGAGAAATTGTAAAGTGAGGGGATCAAGTTAATACCGTTGTTTGGAAATGATAAACAAACGTCGTATCTGTACACATGGAAAGAACGGAAATAAAATATTTCAAATACAATTGGAAAGGTAGGAGACTCCGAGTAATTTTCTGTTTAAGCTTGCCTCGGTTTGCAGTTTAAAATGGTGTTTTGTTCCATGTTGTTAAAAAAAGTAATTTAAAAACAATTTTTTATAATCCAACGTAAAACAGGAAGCAAAAAATACCATACTTATCACATTAAATTTGCATTGATAGCAACATCAGTTGCACGAAAGAGACAATAAAACTGAGAGAATTTCTTGTCATTAACTTGTGCACACATTCAAACATTATTGCTTAACTTAAACTCTTTTGAAAAGCAACATCAATTGCACACCTACATTTTTTACTGCAAGTAAATGAGCAATAAAACAGAATGCAGGTATGATCAGGGTAAAACTAATGTTACTAATGTTATGAACATGTTGTACTTGTAATTTTCCACAAATTTGCAGCTAGGAGCTTGCTAGAATTATTGCATAGCAACATATAAATCCGTAAGGTAAAAATATTGTAATAATCGATGTATGTGAGATAAAAACATCCCAAACCTCAAGAAAAGTTTAATTTGAGACGAGAACGTGATCAGACCAAAGTTTGCAAGCTGACATCATGAAAATAATTCAAGAACATGAGACAATAAATGAAGCATAGACAGAAGGAAGCAAAGAAAGAGAGTGTTTTAAGATTTGGTGTGTCTCAATGCTTTCAAAAATTTTATTTTCTATGGCGACTTAGAGTTGCTTAATAACTTTTCTACACAACGTAACGTCTTTCGTGGTTTGATCTATGTAAAAACAAATCCATTTGATGGTCTTGATTCTACATTGTTTGCCGGCTGTTGCTACGTGCGCAACATGTTTTCTTGTTTGGGTGATTCGTTGACTCTGCATAACTTCTTTTTTACTTCTTTGTGTGCATCATACATGTATGCCATCGCAATTTCATCTGTTAGCGTCAATAGCGTCTTCATTAATTCTTGCAAGCGCAGCGTATTTGATGTTTGGGGGCTTCATCGATTTGTGGACTTAAGCAACTCGAAACTATATAGCTAACATTCATCACATTCAGTTAACTACGTATTACTTACAAAATCAAAAAAAATAAAAAACAATTTATTTCCTTTATCAACCCTTTACATCCTTCACAATAGGCAAAGACTTCCAAATTCAGTTCGTTTTAACTAGACAAAATTGTAATGCAATGTTACAGGCTTAACTAACAACCACTGATTCATTACATTTTATCGTGAGCTAAGAATGCTAGAACTCAGGCTTTTTTCAATGTCACATGGAGATGACGTAATCTTTAGTAACACGACCAAAGAGAGTCAGAACCAAAGCAC